CATAACGGTGAAATCCCCAAATCAATTTTAATTTGTCATAGACTATGTATTGAACATTTTGGATTTTGGATATGAAGAAGCTATGAATAATTTTAATATATAGTCTTACACTATACATTAAAATTATTTGAAATATTGAAATTAACTAATAAGGAAAAAGTTATATTGTTATAGAATATTTAAACACATGGGGGTGTATTTGTAAATTTTACAGGTTTCTTTTTGTTATTTTGTAACATTACAGGGATCAATGATAATTAACTAGGGGTGATCGAGTCTGGGTACTTTGAATTTTTGGAGGAGCTGAAACCGGAACTGGAACCGAAATCAGAATTGGAACCGAAACCGAAACCGGTCAATTACATCATTATCGAAAAATTATTAAAAACTTTGAACCCTAGCGGTCCACTCTTTCTCTCTATAGCAATTACATCATTTGATCTAGCAATTGAAGTATCTTGTTGGTTTTAGGCTACTCTTGTGTGAATATCATTCATGCAACTCTGTTCTTAAGTTGATTTGCGAAGAGATTCAATTTGGTGAAGTCTTCAATGTTGGTGAGAATCTGAAACCTTGTATGGTTTTAATTGTTCGTTTAATGTATATAAACCCATATAATCGGTACCCTAATTTAGGGATTAAAAAGAATTAATTGAAAACTTTTATTCATGTTCCGCTACGTTATTCAATTATTTCCTTATAGCGGTATCAAAGTCCAGGGTTTTCTGATTATATGTGTTTAATTGATTTGTTGAAGCATGAGATTGATTGTATAGAATCGCATGTCTTAGGGTTTCAATTATGATTCAATTATTTTAATTTGGTGATTGATTAATTGAATTCTTGATTTATTGGTGAATTAAATATTGGTTTCAATCTTGATTGGATTGTTGATGTAGATTGACTTGATGAGATTCAAGAGGTGAATAAGAAAAAATTATAATTTTTTTTTTGGTAAATAACGAAACTTTGTAAATGTAAAATTAATGAGTTTGGGTGCTTATGAGATTGTGATTTAAGGATAAAACTATTATTTTCATATTTAGCGATCTCTTATTAACGAAATTTAATTGGAATGAGGGTTAGGAATCAGATTTCCGATACAAGGGGTGATGAGTATGAATTCAAAAAAAAAATCTATAGGTTTTTTTTTTTCAATTTATTTATAAAAACCCTGTTCAGAAAGCATTATCATCGGTCTTAAAATAGAAGAAATTTGTGAATTTAAGTATTTATAAACAAAGACATCATAATTAAAACAGAAGAAGTATTAATTTAATTACCATGGAGTCAGTAGCATTTGAAAGGAAATGATCCCCCCAAATGATATTTTCGACTGAAGTAGCAACAGCTGAAACTACTTGAAGAGACATTAAAAAAACGAAGAAACGATGTAGATTGTTTAGGACAGCTTCTTGGGGTGTGACAAATACGCATTAAATAAGTTATTGATTAAGTCCTTATAACTTAGAGGAGGCAGCGATTGGATCTCAAAAGTGATCCTCAGGACTGGACACATGGTTACTTTCTGACTTTTCTCGTAATCTATTTCTGAGAAATCATATTTGTTGATGCGGGATTTTGCACCAGCGAAACGCACATGCGAAATGTTGTGGGGGGCCCCGAAATCGCACGTGAAAGTAATGGGTAGAGGATAGTAAATGCAATGGAGACAGTTTTTAAAGTGGTTCGGATGCTAAGGTAGCAAGTCCTACGTCCACTGATGCTTGTATTGATGATGGGGGTCAGGTCGCTATTAGCTAACTGACTTTACAATAATGATACAAGGTATCAATTGATAAGAAAAGAGAGTATAATTAATCAAGCGAGAAGTGTCCGAATCCCTTAATGAAAGATGAATTCTAATTTATAGTCGGATGCCCTGAGGCAATGATCACTAAATCTGCAAGTTGGTGGGATTATCCGTGCAAATCCTTCTTTATGTCACATNATATACTTCAATTTAATCACAAATGGGGTATTTTTATCACCAAAATAGAGTCACTTTCATGACTCTAACATGAAAAACCGCTATAGGATTCCTTGTAAGTTATTAATTCCTTATTGGGTTGGGCTTAGGAATATGAATTCTTGTAAAACTAGGTTTAGTCTCTTAAACCTAGTATATAAACATACTTTTCTCTTGTTATGAGTGTGAGAGCAAATCATAGGGTAATCCGTTCATTGTAAACGAGAGAGGTGAGGAATATTTCAATAATATTGACTCAGCTGGACGTAGCCTACATTGGGTGAACCAGGGTAAATCGCGCGTATTTTTCCTTTGTTTACTGTTTGATTTGTTTTACTGTTATTTTTGTTCCTGTGGTTGTCTCTATTTTGTTCACTCTGAAAGTAACTCAACACTGGATATTTAGTTCCATCTTGTTGTGATGTGGCACTTGATACTCACATGTGGAAGTTAATTTGTATTTTGGCTGGTCAATGTAAATTGTTAAGGTTTGAGGGCCAGTTCAGTCTTTCTGCATCTCCAATTGACCTAATCTGTTTTAGGTCTTGTGCGCAGCTCATTTCTTCCATTCTCTCTTGGTTAACAGAAAGAGAAAACGGTTAGAAGTGCTGTGCTGGAAATCCGAAGTTCGTCGATAGAATCAACGGTGATGGTAGGTCTTAGCTGTTATTTTTGGTTTGCCTTCCTTTTGCTGTATAAATTGATACTAATTTCTGCCTATTTGATGGTATATGAGTGGTGAGAGCATCTGGGTGTACGGGTGAAAAATCAGAGGGTTTTGTTTCGGGTTTGTGCCTTGTGTAAAAGGGGTGAGCCAATTCTTCTGTAAGGTTTCTCATATACTCATAGTGAATCTTTCTTTTTGCTCTGAAGAGTGGATGTAGGTAATCTTTCAGATTACCGAACCACTACATATCTGGTGTTATCTCTCTTTCTCTTATCTTTAATTTTTGCTTAATCATTATTATTGTATACTTGTGGTGGATGCTTGGTTTGGTTACTGCACTTTTTGTTCTATGTTGGGTTTCATGTTACAACACATCTCATTTTTGAAGACAACATATTGTTACAGCTAGATATGATACAACTAAATGCGTCTTCATTTTTCAACAGCTTATATGGCGTTTGATTGATTGTTTTCTTGATAAGTCGAAAGAATTTTCCAGAGAAGAAAGTTGCATCTGTCAAGATTCAAGTAACAATGTAACATCATCCTGGTAAGAGTCTGGTTATGGGAATAAATTTGTATGGCTATTTATGAAAAGATTTGCAATATCTCAACTACTTTTCTTTAGTTAATGAACATAAATTTCTAGCTTATCTTTGCAATTTTTTTTAGTTATGATACCGGTATTCCCTTTTTTGGCACCTTAACTAATTCTTAGGGGCCATTAAATATTCTACAACCCTCAAGGTAGTTCGAACCTAAGAAATCAATGAAAAGAGAAAATCGTCTTGATTGTCAGGCTAACCCCGGGATTATGATAATGGTATTTTCTTTCTATAATTAAGATGCTTTTACAAAATGTCTGGTGGTCAAGAAAGTTTGCTATTTTAATTGGCTTTTTGGGTTCAAACCATCTTGGAGCAATCTATCAGGCTATCACATTTGTGGCTTACCTAGAATATTGGACTTGTAAGGCATTCAGTGGGGGCTTGTAGGGTGTTCAATCGGCTCCGAAGATTAATTGAATACGTGCAAACTAGGCCGGACACCGTACTTTTTCAAAAATTTATAGAAATTTACCAATGTAGTCCCACTAAATTTAGCTTTTACTTGATGATTCTGTTCAGTTTTTGAACTTAATACTTTAACCCCATAAATGTAACTTTGTAATTTCACCGGGCTCCTCATCATTTGAACATTACATTTTGGCTCAGAGAATAAATTTGCTAGGTCTAAATTGACCTTTAGGGGGTGTTTGGTTGGGGGTTAAGTGGGATTACTAGGGTAATGTCATCTTATATTACTTGATTACCATGTTTGGTTGTCAAGTAATATAAGATACTGATAATCTTCAAATACCAATAGTGGTTACTATTGGTAATATCAAAGGTAATCTGATTACCTCCATTTTCTTAGGTATTTTGAGATTACCAGGGTTATCTTTTTTTGTTACAATTTTATCCCTTATTAATAAAAATTTTGGACAATAATACCCCTACTTTAAAACAAATTTACATTAATATCCTATTTCAATTTTACCCTTATTTAATTAAAATTTTGGACAATAATGCCCTTATATTTAAAATTATTTATAGACCACCACTGTCACCTAGCCACCACCGCCGACAGAGGGCCAACCACCATGGACCATCGCCAAAAAATCGCCGGAGTCCCTAAAAAAGAAGGAAATTATGTGGGACGCTTTGGGAGGCTTTGATATGGCCATTTCCGGCCATATTGATGGCCGAAAAAGGCCATATCAGGCCAGATCTGGCCGTTGCCATTAAATGCCAGATTTATTCTGGTCGGAATAGATCTGGCCGGAAATGGCTAGAATAGATCTGGCCATTTTCGGCCAGATCTAGCCTGATATGGCTGTTTTCAGCCATCAATATGGCCAGAAACGGCCATATCGGACCCTCTTGGTCACGGTGACGTACTCACGAGGACTTTTGGAGACATCCGACGGTGGTTCGTGGTGGCGGCAGGAGGTGGGGGTGATTTCATCATAAATTAAAGTTTTATATAAGCGGGGGTGTTTTAGCTAAATCTGAAATATTGGGGGTTAAAAGAAATTATTCAAAAATTAATAATAAAAATTATATTATATTAATATTTAAAAGGGGGACAATTTAGTAATTTAAATAACATACCCACCAATTTATTCCCTATAACCAAATATATTAATATAACATACCCACCAACTAACCAAACATATTTTCTTAAAGATTTCCAGTAATCTTCCAAGGTAATATATCTTTCCAGTAATCCAACATTTCCAATAATCTAACATTCTTGAACCAAATGCCCCCTTAGTGTCCATCCTATAAATATATAGGTATTTAAGTCGTCTTAATTCCATGCTTATAATGGAACAGGATTAATAAGCAGAGAAGCAACAGAATCCTTAAGCATAACGTGAGCATGAGTGTAGCCATCTTCATCCTTGTATATAACATCTATCACACGAGAAAGATTGAGAATTCGGTCAAGGAGAGGCATTGGCACCGCAGTTGGGCGAAGGTATTCTTCATTTATATCCTTCCAGGCATCTATCACTTGTTTTTGAAATTCATTGCGTGCTTCTTCTTCGGTTGCACCATGTTGTATCATGAAACACTCAATGCTTGAGGCAACATGGCCTCTCTTTTGTTCAAACTGTATGACAGAAAAACACCAATTGGTTATTAAGGAATTCAAGAAAAATTCACACCAATATTTTAATAAATTATACTATTAATGAAATATGTAATTACCTTGTGGGAGACCATGTCGTCCATGAGTCTGCAGATTACTGAGGAAGCCTTTATCATCTTGGGATTTGTGAATAACCATTCAAAGGCTTCTTTGGTTACTATATTTCCCATTCCCACAAATGATGTTGTGGCTAACATTGAGTAGCCAGAGGTCACTAATGCAACAGTCATGTACTCATCCAGTGATGGTACAAAATTTTTATGACACCATTTGGCTTCATAGAAGTAATTTCTAACTAAAGTCTTCATCTGAGAAATAAAAAAATCATCAAAATTTTCAATTATTAGTATAGGTAAGAATGAATGCCTACTGATTCTGAGTTAACACTAATTAGTCAAATGAAATGAAACTCACCGCTTCTTTTGCAAAATGAAGGCGGTATAATCTTCCTTGATCGGCCATGTCTTTCTCAGTTTCACTGTAAACATCAAGGAGAGCCTGATAGCACAGTTTCATGTACCCAGGCAGTTGATCCATGGCACTGACATCCCACCTGAAAAAAGAAAATGCAATCTTATTTGAATAAATGTAAATTAATAGGATGCTTAGAGAGAATGGATATTTATAGGTCAAGAACTGAATAATTACTTCTCAATTGCTTCGGTAAAAAGCTCAAGTTCTTCAATTGTACCATACACATCATAGACATCGTCGATAACAGAAGCCATTGCAATCACTTTGGTTAATATCCTTCTAGCCAGAGAATATTCAAGCTCGAAATACACTCCCAATATCCAAAAGTAGCATTCTATCACTCTGTCTCTTACAAAAGGTAGCTTATGGGCAAAGTCTAATTCTTTCCACCACCTAAAATAACAAAATTAAACAGAAGTCATTAGATAAATTCAGTGAATCTAAAGCTTAAAAATGGTAGAACTGCCGTCATTTTAAAGCTTACTTTGCAATATGACTGAGTTCAATCTGGTGCATCTTCTGTAATATGTTAAAATCCAACTTTGCAAAGGCTAATAGAACTTCATTGTGGGACTGGGAAGCATCTTCTTGAAAGATGCTCATGTAATGTTTAGCGTCGATCCTCTGTAAGCCCTTGCGAATTGGCCGATTTAAGGCATGCTTAACTTGAACTGCAACTGGAGGGCTAAGTTGGGCTGCAATGGACTCAAGGTGAGCTGTGGTGAAAGCGAGCGCTTCATCGAGTATATTCTTTCCATGCACCTTGAGATGTGTGGCTTCGTACAAACTTAACATTGCTCGAACATCTTTTTCAAGAGATGCCTTGAACTTCCCATTGCTGTCCTTGAACTTGTTGAAAATGTCTGTTTCACCCCATCACACATCATATTTAAACGATGAAATTAAAAGGTGTAATTAAATTAAGAACAATAAGAGGAAGAGGTTCGAGAAAGAACATATACCACAAGAAATATTATAACCATGTTGTCTTAGCAATCGGAATTCAAGAGAGGTTGAATATAAGTCATCTCTGAGATCACTGTCTTGGTGAGCCTTGTAGACTTTTGCTAGTATTTCATCAACCTCAGTTTCAAAATGATAAGACACGCCTAACCTTTGGATTGCATCAATCAAGTCAAGTTTCTCTGCAGGCTTTTTCACTTCAGTAATTATCAATTTTCTAATTTCTTCCTTTAGTTCTAGTAGCCTTGCATTATGATCAGTTTCCTAAAACAAAAAAGTTAGAGAAAATTAAAGCCATATATAAGAGCTAGGATAGAAAATTATATTTCAGAAAGCGCAAAATATACATTGGCTTGAACTCATACACATGGAGAGTGTGCATGTTTTAGATTGAGAGTAGTTTTCAAAATGTTTTCTCTTCAGTTTTTGCAGAAAACATTTTTCAATGTAAAATTTTCTGGACGAACACATCCTAATTAAATTAGAAGAAGCATGAATTTTACCATGGACTCAGTAGCATATGAGAGGAAATGATCCCCCCAAATGCTAGGATGAAAATCAGCTGAGCGACGATTAGTTTCTTCCTTCGCAGTATTTTCAACTGAAGCTGCAGCAGCTGAAACTATTGAAAGAGACATAATTCTAAAATTTCTTTTTTTTCTGGTTGAACGAAGAACAAGAAAAGATCGATGTAGATTGTTTTGGAAAGCTTCTTGTGCTTCAAGGCCAGTGTGAATCATATTGCCTTCACAAATATGTATTTATAGACACCTGAGAGATATAGAAACATTTTATTTTTCTTAAATATGTCCTTATCAGAGACTTTAATTGATTTAACAAATATATGTAGGGAATTCTATTCTGGGACGAAACTTAAATCATTTACCTCTTTATGCAATTTCATTTGTGTGTTACACTAGAATGGAAAAATATTAATAAAAGTAGATTAAAACTAATCTCGGTCTCTGACCAACATGACAAACGGATAAAATATTATTTCAAAGGCAATCGACTTGTTCATGCAAGGCACACATTCAAATTTTGGCTTCTTAAACTATATTATTTTTGATAATTTGGGAATCCTCCTATAAGACCTTGGATCAAAGTTAATGCCGATGGACTATTCAAAGTCAATCTCGACCTGGAAATTCCTCTAGGTCATGAGACTTCACTTTTACAGTGGGATTTACGCTATTATTTCAGCTATTGAAATTGCCTCACTTCGTTTGCTAGAAAGGACTCTTCAGCAGCTTTAAGTTGCCTCACTTCATCATCTTACCTTTCACCTTGGACTGTGCATAATAGTTAATAGATGGTTTAATTACCTGCATCTGATAAACGTTAGTGAGCATTTGGTTCGAGGTCATAAAAGATAACACTGGTAATTTATCTTTTAATTCGGCAATTACCATGTTTGGGTGTCAAGTAATAAAATATTCCAGTAATCGATCGATACCAATATTGATTACTGTAAGTAATATAGAAGGTAATTCAATTACCGTCTGAAAGAGTGTTATTTTTGTTATTACTGAGGTAATCCCTTGTTCATACTAATTTTACCCTTAATTAATAAACATTTTGGGCACAAATGCCCTCAAATGTCTACTAAATAACAATTAGCCAAAATGTGTGAAATGGCTTCTTTAACCTCATATACTAATTTTTTGAATGGAAATACACTCACTATTTACATGAATAATACCCAAAATACCTCAGCCACTCAAGACGATTGTCGGCCATCGGCAACCATCGCTGGCCGCCGTCGACAATTGCCAGAACGGTGCACGACCAGTTGGACCTGGTCGATCGTGCACCGATCTAGCCATTTTCGGCTAGATCGAAGGTAAAAAATAATCACATAGTCGTGGATCTGATCGAAAACAACCAAATCCATAGTTGTAAACGACCATAGATTTGGCCGTTAATGCTTAAAATGGATTTGGCTCTCTAGCCAGATCATTGTATGGCACTGGATTTGGCCAATCGTGCGCCAATCTAACCGTTTTTGTCTAGATTGAAGGTCGAAAATGGCCAAATGGCCGTGAATCTGGCCAGAAATAGCTAGATCCATTATGGTCGTTTCTGGTCAAATTCATAACTATAAATAGCCATAGATCTGGTTGTTAATGTCCAAAATGGATCTGGTTTCCGGCCAGACCGGCACACGACCAGCTAGATTAGGTCGGTTGTGCACTGTTCCCATGATTGCTTGCAATGGCCAGTGGTGGTGACTAGCGATCGATAGTCATCTTGGGTGGCTGCATGTATTTTGTTAAATTTTAAACTTTTGTTGTTGGGGTGTTTTAGCTAAATTATCAAATATAGAGGGTTAAAAGTATTGTTCTAAATAATAATAATAATATAATTATTATTAACAAAGAAGGGCAATTCGATAAAAACCTCTTCGATAATATTTTATTCCTCCCAACCATACATATTAATTAATTATACTCACTAATCTAGTCAAACATATTAATATAACATTTACCTATTAATTTTTAAGGTAATCTATCTCAATGGTAATCTATATTTTCAATAATAAAAAATTTCTCCAACCAAACGCTAAGTTAAAGTAATGGATGGTTTGGATTTTTGTAATCAAATCAAACAAATTAACAAATTTGGATTTATGTTACAAAAATTGACCCGACACTAAAACTGTTTAAAGTAAGACCCACTAAGCGAAGTATCCGTTCAAGCCCAGATTATCTATCGTTGTTCTCTTTCAATAATTTTTGGACCAAACTCCAATGGTACCTGCCAAAAAATGAAAACCACACAGTCTATATTGTGTTACAACCCTGTGCACATTGTCAACAAATGTTTACAATGTACAACGTTGTGCACATGGCCATAACATGTGAAACAAATCCAAAAATTATGACATGTGAAACAAATCCAAAAATTATGGGACCTAAAATAGTATAATTAGGTGTAACATTGTTTTCTAGTTAATATGTGAAATTTGGCAGCTTATACAAGATGAATACCTTGACGAGTAAATCTTACGTAATAGGTATCTCATTATTTATGCATTACAATTTAGATTAACTTAAGATATTCATGTCCACTCACTCTGTTATACCTCAAGCCTAACAAGCAAATTCGCAATACAAATAAACACAAACAGAATTAAAGATCAAAGAATCACACACACACACAAAGATCAAGGCACGAATTTACCGTGGTTTGTCTATCCAATCTTGGATAAACTACATCCATGTTGAGCTCCGAAATAAAGATGCTCACAACACTAAAAGATAATCAAAGATCACAAGAAGACACTCATACAAATCTGCAAAACAGATCAACCCTCTTCTAAGGCCTATTCGCTCACGAATCTCTCAATAATCTGCAAGAAAACAGAGGACAAATACCAGCCTCAAGAAGGAAACGCAACTCTCTCTAGATCTACCCAGATTATACCCAGAAAGACCCAGCAAACACCAACCCTAGTTTCTCTCTTCTTTCTCTCATGAACCCTAACTTTCGATCTGAATAAATCTGACTGTTCATGACACTGTTGCTTCTTTTATATATGCCCATATCAGAAAATGTCAGCCATTGGATCTGTCTTGATCTGACGGCTAGGATTCAGTAATGGTCTTAAGTGAAACGACCCCGTATTGGCTTCCAGAACTTTAGTGAAACAACTACGTTTTTGGCTTCACATAATCTTCACACTCTCTATAATCTCATGGCCACAACTCTAATAATAGACCTTACTTGCTTTAGGTTGTATATGTATGCATCAACTTATATTCTCGTTATTTGGTTTGGTAATTAATATCTATTTTCTCATGATTTTATTGGTTTTGGTAAAGTATAATTTTCATATTGATGAATCCATGCGTACATTCAAACTTTGTGATTGGACTTCAAATTTCTTTTTAGAAAATTATAATCATGAGGAATGAATTAAAATTGAAAATTCTCAGTTGTTCAAATTTCCTTTTAGATGAAGCTTGCTTTGTTTCTTAAACTTTTATTATCTACAATTATTTACATATAACCTTTTCTTTTAAAAAAAAAAAAAAAAAAACTCCCTGCAAAGGATTTTGGCTCGTTACTTTCCAAATTTTCTTAGTATTTTGAGAATTATTTGGTTTAGTTTGATCATGTTATATTATTATATTTTTGTGTTTTTAGTTATTTATTTGATTTATTATTTGATATCTATGTCCGAGATTTCATAATAACCCCCTCAACCACAAACGTATCTGTGGTTGTTTTCTCCCCATAATTTTTGGATCTCTTACTTGCCAGAAAATGATGACCACAAAATATGATACACTAATATGAACCTTATGCATATTGTCAAATCTGTGGCCGCATATTTTGTCATCAAATAAATTCACTGACCTTACAAGCCAATGAAATTATATTTATATCAACGTTATTTGAACCTCCCATCAAAACTTTTTTAATTTTTTTATTTATAAACTTTAATTGATCCATAAATCTATTTTTCACTTATTTTGAAACCCCAAACTATAAGTCTATATGATTATTCTTATATTAGTTTTTTAAGGGTCTTATTTAAATATGTAATCTTAAGAAAAATTCTTGCATAAAAAATATTAAACTAAATCAAGATTGATTCATTTAAATACACTTAATTGTTATTCATCATCTTTAAAGTGTGGTCTAAAGACATTCTTATATATATGTCCTTAAAATCAATTTCTTTTCAAATGTTCCTTCTAACATAATTTTTTTGGTCCACCAGTGCACTTATATACGTTAAGCAATTACATCAATCAATTTTTTTTTATTTTTTATTTTGGTAACCGGGGTGTCTGGGCCAACTTGCTCGCACCTCAATTAATCCCGGGGGTCCATTGAATATCATACAAGCCCAAAGGATTAGATAAGCCACGATATTATTGTGATAGGTAGATCTAAGGTTTGAACCTAAGAACTCAAAGAAAGGAGCAAACCCCCTTCACAGCCAGGCTAGCCCCTTGGGGTTACACCAATAATTCCCTTACCTTAATTTTGGCTTTTTATAAAAGTATCTAGCATTTGAATAGTTTATGTAACCTGTTGCACATTTACTCAGGGGGCAGCTAAAATTTGTGATCATTCGTCATAATTAAAAAGAAAAAAAATTGAAAAAAAAATATAAATAAAATTGTTAAATGTGAAGCTTTATACGCTGTCATATTAGCTTAAGTTCACTCTACATCTTGACCGTTGTTTTTTTAAGTAATCTAACGACTGAAAACTGAAGACTGGTCAAACTTATAAAAGTTGCAGTCTCTCTCTTTATCGAAAGACAGTCTCTCTCTCAATTGAAATCTTCCCCAAATTTCTTCATTAGGGTTCAAGAATAGGACTTCCCTCTGTGTGTAAATTTGTAGTTAATCTGTCTATTAAAATTGTGTTTCTTAGTGGTGTCGAGAATCAGGTTTGGAGTTCTTTGTTTGGGTTGTAGATTTACTAGAACTGAGGGTGAAGTCTGAGTAGTTCTTGATAGTGAATCTTGTAAAGGGGGATTGATTGGTGTTTTGTAATCGTTGGTGATACTAATATTAGGGCAGCGAGCATCCATATTCTGGAGCTCAACATGGACATAGTTGTTCTATCTTGAACAAGTGAACCACGATAAATACTGTGTGTTGATTTATTTCTTTTT